TAAAGCTAGTAAGGCCTCATGAGAGTCTTAACCTTGTCTAGTTTCCTTAATTTCATTTATTTCTTATAAATACCTGCAAGAGCCACCAAATAATTTACCATTTTATAGCTAGGAACTTCAATCAGGATAGACCACATAAGGCAACTGTATGACTGCCATTGATCAAGTATTTTCTTTGCCATACTTCAGCATTCATACTTGAAAAGCTTTCTCTTTACATCTTCTTCCTGGAGCCTCAGAATTACTTCTGGTCTGTAACTGCCTAATTCGTGAATTGCTGTTCAAATAAACTTTAAAATGTGAAGGTACCTTGGTTTACTTTGAAATAGCTCCATACCTCTGATATAAATATGAATTAAGATAAAAAGATACTCTGGTTTGTATTTAAATATACTCTAAACATACAATAATTTAAAAATGAGACATATATCAAATATAATTGCCAAAATAAATTTCTTAAAACTTAAAGTATTTGCATAAACCTCACAATGTAAACATGGCCTGTGATTTTACTTCTCTCGTCTCAAATTCTAAAGACTCTGAAGGATACACGAGAGAGCTATGAGGGCTAGTGTCTTCTCCAGTTTAAACTGAATGATATTTTGTGGTTCTTTCAAACCTGAATTTACCTTCCCCCATCATTAAATTGCATTTTCTGGTCATCTGCTTAGGGAATAATTTTAACAGAACCATTTTAACCTTCCAGCAATTTTAGAACAATATATGCAGTAACACTGAACATCAGTGATCCTGTTTCAGACACCTGCCACTTCTGTGGATGTACATTTAACCTAAGTCTAAGTTGCAGAGATGATAAAGAAATAAGTCCTTGATATTTTAGATGTAAGCCATTATAAAATGTTCCAAAGCAGAAGAAATCAAGAATTGCTGTGTGTGAAGTGACAGATATGTTAATTAGCCTGACTGTAGGAGTCATTTCATAATATGTATGTAATTCCAAACATGGTTATATGCCTTAAATATATGTCTATTATACTCAATAAAAGGGAAAAAAATATCAAGCACTAACAAAAGATAACACAAACTGTAGTTTCCACTATGTGTTAAAAATGTTTGCTGAGGTGACAACACTTTGGGGTATTACTTTCATGTACCCTCTACCAATGAGTCAAGAGAAGCTGGAAGGTTATCTCCAAATGACTAATGAATACATGAAATACACTCAACCTCATATTTATGAAGGGAGGACAGTGAAACACAATGAGATAGCACCACATGCTTACCAGGATGACTAAGATTAAACAGAGTGACCCACACAAGAACTGAAGTTAAGTGAAAACAAAGCACAAATGAGGGAACAGTGTAGGATTCCAATTATATTAAGTTAAAAATAGGTAAAAATAAATCTATACTATTAGAAATTAGGTTGGTGGTTGATGCTGGGAAGAAAGCGGAATAATGGAAGGATGTGTGGTGAATACAGAAGGAGGCATTTAGGAGCTGGTCCTGTTCTATCTACTGAACTAGCTGAAGGTTACATTGGTATATTCCCTACACATGCTCTTCTGTATGTGGGCTATATGTAAATTTTAAAAATGATTCTGTCATATAAAATTATTGCCCCTTTTAATGGCAAACTTGTATATATGTGATTCAACTCATGTAACTAAACAACCCACTGAAGTGAGGGCAATTATTGTCATTTTATAAATGAGTAGAAAGTGAGGCATATGCAAGTCAAATAACATGCCCAGGGCCCTACCACTCTAAGTGGTGAGGACAGGAACGGACCCATAGTCAAGATCCAAAGCCCACTGAGAATCCTCTCACCCTTACACTAATCTTTGGGGCTTAGGTAGCATGTTTCTTTATGGGCATCTAAAGACATGACTCTAAGTTGGGTGTAAACCAGGAAGACCAGTTAAGTCGAGCAGGGTACCTTCTTTAATGCCACTTATTTACTATTGCTTTTCAAAATCAGGCCTGCAGAGAGCAATAGATTTGCTATGAATTTAGCTAACGGAGTAGAGGGTACTGGTGAGATACATGTTAACTGCCCTTTGTGTTTATTCACATACAGAAGATACCCCTGATGTTTTTTGTACTAATTTTGTATACTTCAGGAATTCTAAGTTGAAAATTAAAAACACAAGCCTAAGCATAACCTAACAAGAGAAAGACCTGAGGATAAGATTCTATGCAGTTTTTCCTTTGAACGTGTTCAAATTCCTACCAGACCACAACAAAACCCTACTTGTATTTCTTTCTTATTTTATGCCATTTTTACTCCCTGTGAGTTTAAGAATGTTAGTATTTATAATTCTGTAAATCAAAATGAAGTAGATCAGATCTGTTCTACCACCAGCAGAACAAACTTTATTACCTTTCTCTCATATCAAGCCCAGCTGGAAAATAAGAGAATTATAAAATATTTAATGATACACTTTATGTGAATCCAGTTTAGTAAGTGAGCTCTCTTGAAAAGACACTCATTTTAGTGTGGTAGAGGAACTTTGCTTTATATATTATAAACAAGAAACACATTCATTATAAGGATGTTTGTGTTAGATTCAAACGGAAGTCAGCATTTGGGCTGTATACACATGCAAAGAAAATACAAATTTCAGCTCTTTGACAAACATAAGTGGAAGTATACATCAGTAGGAAATATTATTCTTGAATGATTCAGTGTTTATTACCTGATCAATAGAATTATGCTGTATATATGACAATTAGTTGTTAGTATCAGGTGATTTAAGTTTACCACTAACAGGCCTTCTGTAATTTTGAGTTTCAGTATATTCAACTAATTCTTATCTCTAACAAGAAAATCAATACCTTTGAAATAATTAGCTCTAAGCTCTTGGGAACCTCTATCTCTGGGCAGGCAGACAGGGTTCGACTTAATGTAATTACTGCCAGAACTACAAGCAGTTTCCTTGCAAAACCAAAGCAACTCATCTGTACTATTTTTTAGATTCTATGCTCTAAATTGTATGAAACAATGCCAGCATTGAAAATACCCATTACATTTCCATGCTTTTTAACTGGCTATGAAATTTCAAGGTTTGGAAAATGTACTGTGAGATGAGCTATGCATTCATTTTCCTGATATAGCACGAGAAAAATAACTCCCACATACCTTTATCTACCCAAATGACAGCCAATCTCAAAAAAGTTTAAATACGCCAAGCACTTGAAAATATTCCATAAGGTAAAGCCAAAATTTCTGAAGTGGATGTTTAAAAAACAATAACAAAAACAGCTCTGCAAGGGAAATTTCATCCCACCGCAGCCTGTACTTCTACAAAATTAAAATTCAAGATCAACCACGAAGAAAATATATTTCACAGAAAACCCTATGATTGCCCTGGTAGATTTAATCCCTTGATGACTCTCTATTATTAGTGAATTTCAGCAGATGCTAAAAATTAAGTATTTTATTGTAACCATCTGTCCTCTGGGTACTTTGTGGTTCAAGCGACCAGAGAAGCTGTGTGTCATGTGCACGGTATTTACAGGTTTCAATTAGTTTGGGAATCTCTGGGAGGAAAATGATTTTTCTCTTAGAAAGAAGTAGGAAGAAAGCATAAATGAATTAATAAATGATGTGGCAGCGACTGATAATGGTTCTAATGAAAGGATGAAATGTGCTTATTTAAAGAAAAAGATCTTCGGCAAATACATTTTTTTATGGCTGTAGATAAGTAGCTAATAATATATTACGGTTTATTTTGTAAAACAGAATAAAAGAGTAAGCATAAACATAAGATAAATCACACTTAGACAGTAAAAACTCTTAAGAAATAGACAAGCATACCACCAACACAGATCAAAATTTTATCCATGTGTACCAAAATAGATTATTCTCAGTATATTTATTAATGGACAGCTTCCAAATTAAGTTCAGACTATATTTGGGGGGTGGCGACTCTGGCATGATATTCATTCATGATTTTCTGACCAACAGTTCAGATTTCCCATGTCTTCAAATATTTTAGGAACCAAGAAATATTTTTAGATTCTCTAACCTTGATTCTCAAAGTTTAGTATCAAATTGATAAGAAGATAATTGTTAAGAAGATGTATACGAAGCAATTTTTAACATATCTACCTCATAGATGTGTTAAAAAAAATTAAATGAGAACCATGTACATCACCTTTTTGAAAAACTATAGATTTTCCATGTAGTAAGCATCCATTTAAACCTTGTTATAGACAACTAAGTGGAGTTGAAACAAAGCAAAGCAGTATTTAGCAAACTTGGTTACCCTACTGACCAAATACTTCTTTTTTTTGTTTTGTTTTTTTTTCCAATACTGGGAATTGAACTCACGACCTACTGCTTGCCAGGCAGGCGCTGTGCTGCTGAGCTAAATCCCCAGCCCCTTGACCAGATACTTCTTGAATGCCTATGATGTACGTACCATGGGTGTGGTAGCTAAATTCTAGTCAGCTACATTCTAGTTAAGAAGATGTATATGAAGCAAGAACGGAAAATATAAAACTGTATAGTTATTTACTACTTAGTGTGTATGTTACAAACTGTAATGGTCAAAGATGAAAATTAAACAGCGTACAGAAGCAGGTGAGCCCATTATTTCACTCATTTATTACAAGAAGACCCTAAAATCCGACAGTTTTCCAGTTGTACAGTAATACCTTTAGCATTGTTATGGAAGGAATATAAGGCTGAGTCCTACAACTCAAGTAGACATAGGACTAGCACAGTCAGTGTAAAGTATCCATATTATATTCATGCCAACCAGTGCTTCATTGTTTGACCTACTGTATCTTTTTCATGTCCTTCTACCTCCCAAGCCTTTGTAAGCTCAGCTTCTGAAATGAGATCTTGGTGGCTGCTTACAAGCCTTTCACCCAAGATGATCACTGTGTGCTACAAGAGCAGATGGCAGGATGTCCACCTAGGGCTCCAAAGCACACGTGTCAGTTTATTCATTTTCAGGAGTAGGACACAGGCAGCTCTTACTGGTGAGGAATCAGAACACAACCAATCTTCCTACAAAAAGAGAGGTTACCTTAGGATCAGAGGTGAGCAATTTGAATGCTTGATACACTTGAGATTCCTTTACACCGCCTCCCAGATCCAAGAAGTTGGCTGGCTTCCCACCATTTAGGAAAATGATATCACAAGTAGCCATGGCTAGTCCCGCACCATTCACTATGGAATGCAAATAGCACACAAGACAAGGTAAACTTAGCAATAAGAAAGGATACATAGACATTCTCCCTCCCCACTATTACCAAAGAGAGCCTTATTATTAGCAGGCCAAGTCCTCCCTGTTTGCAATTTAGTTGAACCAGGTAAGTGCACACATTTTTATTACAAAGAATCAGGAAATGTGCATACAAAGAATCAACAATTAAAAAATGGAAATGAGAAGGATTTATTGAGATGTTAAATCAACACAGAAAACAAAAAGAAAAGAGTTGAAAGACTTAAGTTAGCAATTTGGGCCAATAGTAAAGAGCAAGTTTTAGGTTCTGGAAAGCCTAAGTTTAAGAAAATTCAAAAACAGGGGCTGGGGATTTAGCTCAGCGGCAAAAGCGCCTGCCTGGCAAGTGCAAGGTCGTGAGTTCGGTTCCCGGTACCGGAGAAAAACCAAAAAAAAAAAAAAAAAAAAAAAATTAGATATCAAGAAAATTCAAAAACAGAGGAAAAAGCTATGGGAAGTTGCTAGGACTATAAGAGACTTCAATAGAAAGGAGAATTTAAAATTTTTTTTGCTTGCTGAAAATCTGCACCTTTGAATGCGGCATCCCTCTGAGACTGAACCACAGGATCCCAACTTCAGTAGGGGTCTCTACTATTTGGCACTTGGTGCAGCTCTGCACATTTATGTGATGTTATCCAGATAAACTCAGAATCAAATCAACCAGTGATACCACCATTTCCCTGTCCCTTTCTGCCTCTTCAACGTGAGAAAGGTTTATTAGCAGCCCAATTATGAAACTAGAACCAAAAAATACCAACATCATTACAGTTTTTCTTAAGAACTCAAATAAGGATGTTTAACATTGAAATTCTCATTCTCTAAAGCTAAGTTTTATTGATCAATTGTATTTTTTTGCTTCTTACGCCTAATTATATGGAATTACTTTCCTCAGCTTGGAAGGACAAAAAACAAACAAAAAAATCTCCTTAATACAGCAGAAATTCGCTAGGTAAAATACCCTTTATTTTTTCTGACTCTTGAATTTTTTAGTCAAGCGTATGAACTGTGATTAAATTAATTATGTCTGAACCACCTAAAATAAAAATGGCTTACATAGGATCTTAAAGCAATGTGAAATGCATTAATCATAATTTCTGAAAATGCTACATGGTCAAATCATGCACAGTCCAGCAGAGGCTACAAAGAATCTGAATTTAATTTCTTCTCAACACACCATTATATCTTTTTTGCTTTCCAAATGCCTACAAATATTGAGAGTGCATTAGCATATCAGGATCAGAATGATATGCGTGATCTGGTACATTACAGTTATTGCACCAATACAAAGCAAGAGCTTCTGGTGTCACTTGTAATTGGATGTCATTTTCTATTGTATTAAACAGCAAGCTGTTGGATGAGGTCTCTTCAGTTCTAAATATAATGATACTATTGGCTTAATGAGTAACAAGTCTTTTTTATTTTAATTCCATTAAGATGAAGACCTTAGTTTCTAGTGCAATGAATTGTTTCTAGCAGAAACACAGTATTAGGCAATTAAGTCAGGAGCATATAAATCTCAGCACTATAAGCTGTGGACAGTAACTGAAATTGTATTGCCTCTATAGACCCATTCCTATCTCGGCTGAATAAGCCATTTTCACAAATTTAGGTGAGTAGGATGGAATCAATTGTTTTATTAATAAACTGGTATAATGAATGAAGCATTTTGTCATTTGAACTATAAAATCTGAAAACATTAGTAAAATGATTAAAGTTTATGTCTTCTCCTTGGTGTGAAAAAGCAATTTTATTTTAAACTCAAATTTCACAGCAGTTCCTATCATATTAACACTGATTTGGGTAGTAAAGATCCTGAGATTTACTAAGCAAAATTTAAAACAGATGTGTTAAATCAGTGGTTCCCAACTGGGGTAATTCTATGTACCACAAACATCTGGAAATGTTTGGAAACTTGTTTTATTTTCAAAATTGGTAGTATCAATAGCATCCAGAAACCAGCAATGCTGGTAAATATAACGTCCAGGACAGCCTCCTACAGCAAAGGATTGTCCCACCTACAAATCTCAATAGTATCAGAGTCGAGAAAGTGCTTTCAAGCAGTGACCACTGATAAAAATGAACTTTCAGAAGAAACTCTGGACTCTTCTCTAGAACTGTTCAGCTATAAAAATCTCATGTTTATTTGCTACTGTTAAATAGCATTTCAGTAATCCAGTGTTGATAAATTCTGTAAAAACCCCTTTCAATATGAATGCTTACCAAAGCACGCAATGTTCCCATCCAGTCCTATGTATTTTAGATCGTATCTGGCAGCTTCATTTTCAATGGGCTCATTCTCTGATTTGTCATCCATAGCAAATATCTCCTTTTGTCGGAATTCAGCATTGTCATCAAAGTTTATCTTGGCATCAAAACAGACAACTAAATAAACAAAAAAAGGAACATACTGAAATATATCTTTAGGTTCTCCAGGGTGGTAGATACAGGAAAGAGGCCAGATATTTTATTCCTTCTCATGCTACAGGCAGGAGAAATTACTGTTTTCTTGACCTTTGAACTTCAAGGTTAGAGAGACAAATATAACACGGCTCCTATTCTCAAGGGAGAAAACGTAAGCCGTTTTTATTTTAGGTAGTTCTTTATTCTAGTAAAGAGCACAGTGATTTATATCTTTTGGCTTGTATTCACAAGAATAGAATAGAAGTTGTCATTACCCACATTAAAAGCTACAGATTGGCATAACTACACATGGCTTTGATTAGCTATTGTTACCATATACTTTATTTTCAGTACTTAACTGCTGAGTATGGATTTTCTCTTCTATGTAAAGAGACATTAACACTATTCCTTTAGTCCTCTTCTGTCCTTCCGACATTGAAAAATCAGATTTTAGCAGTGTCATCTTAATATTTCTAAAAGATATAGTTGAAAGAATGCTGAGCTAGAATCCATATTTTTTAAATCCTTAACTCTGCAACCTTTTTTATTTAAAATATTTTTAAAATAAAGCTTTAATATACTTGAGGAATACAACGTGTTTTGCTGTACATATATTTTGGAACCATTACTCTAGTGAGACAAATCAACATGATCTGCCTTCTCAATTTCTTCTCTTGTCCTTTTCCTTCCTTTTCCTTTTCTCATCCTCCCTCCCTTGAGCACTTAAAATCTAGCCTTTCAGCATTTTTTTTGTACCAGAAATTGAACTCAGAACCTTATGCTTGCCAGTAGGTGCTGTGCCACTGAGCTATAGCTTTATCCCCAGCCCAGCATTCTTTAGTATGCATTACTAATTCTGCAACCTGGGGGCTGGGGATTTAGCTCAGCGGCACAGCTCCTGCCTGGCAAGCACAAGGTTGTGAGTTCGATTCCCAGTACTGGAAAACAAAAACAAAAACAAAAAATTCTGTAACCTGGTTTTTAAAAAAACTAAAAAAACTACTTTGTCCATGACTTTTGTTTTTTTCTATTTGAAAACAGTGGGAATAACAATCCCTAGTCTACTGATTTACAAGATTAAGAATTTGCTAAAGTTAGAGCCAGAACTTCAATTTATACAGATCTATCTTATGAGTCCTTTGATTCAAGTTACAAAGCACTAAGATCAAGACTGGCTGGTTCAGTGCTAAGATACCTGGCACCTCGCACTATTGTCGTCATCCTGCTGGTGAGACTCTTCACATTTACTGCAAGAGCCCCAGATCCAGCAAACCTAGTTCCACAACAGGGATGAATGACAGGGCACCATCCTGAATTTAAAGGAGCTCTTCTACAGGGATAAACAGGAAATGACAGCGGGGGAGATGGCTATGCTGGTGTCCGGGTTCCAGCCCATCTATTGTCTCCCTTAAAATAGAACCCGGTGCTCTGTGATGCCATGCCAACGTGACGTTCCTTTATTTACCTAGGGGTACAGATAGGCAAGCATTTGACCAAGATTTACTAAGATTAATTTCCAGCATGGCTGACAGGCACCGAAGTCTAGAAACAGAACAAAGACCTTGGATGAACAGCTCACTGAAAGTAACGGCCACAATATGCTAATTCTACTTGCTTCCTAGAAAAAGAAAGTATCTTTGCATTATGGCAACCTATCTAGGTAGAGTGTTCTCTAAACTTTTTCCTACAAAAGAAATCAAACATTTTACTATAAATCTGCATAGAACTACATATAACATTTAAGAAGACTTGGAGTAAATATAAATCCAGACCACAGTTACTTTTAAACACTCACTGACTGGCAAGAGAGAATCTTGTATGTAAGTTAATATTAGCTTGAATCTTTAATTTTGCCACAAACTGCCCAACCACTCTGCCCACAGAGTGAATACACAGAGTGAGTAAGTAATTACCTTCCAGAATATTGAAATCATAATGATGGAATCCTACAATTACCAAAGGAACTGGCCAATATTCTCTGCTTGCTACAATGGCATTTTCTCAGCAGTTAATGACCGGTATAATAATCAATAGAAAAGCAACTTCATTCTTGGCTTTTCACTAGGTTTATAAATACATTCTAATTAATTTATTAGTAATTTTAGGTCCTCCATTACTCACTGGCAAGAGCACTTGTAACTGACACTTTCAAAATGAATGGGTAAGGGCTATCAAATTGACTTTCTAAGAGAAGTTTCAAATAAAAGAATTCTTGGTCAAGATCAATAAGCCAGTAAATCAAAATAGTTCCAAGTTAATCTTTGCCCTTACAAAGACTACAGTTACAAGCAGCTTGAGAGGGAAGATAATTCATGGATATGTATGCAAAGTTCGGAAAGCAGTCTCTGCTAAATGCTTGCGAAGCTCGATTTTCAGAAGATGCTTTCGTGCTGTAAGTTGTATATGCCAAAACCAGAAATTAGCTCACTATCTGATGACCACCTTGAGAGAATCCAGCAGTTAGCCCAGACCTCGAGGAGGGTGACAGTGGGATAAAAGGGCTGTGTATCTACAGTCGTTCCTAGGCAACTCCTCTCTTTCTTCAGAGAAAAACTGAAAAACATAGGTCAGTGAATGCAGCTCCAAAGGCTTTGGCAAGATAAAGATACTGCATAAAAGTGAGGTCATGGAAGGAGACCTAGGAGTTAATAAAAGTTAATAAAACAAAACCAAACTGCCATTTTCAAAACCTCACTTTTTTGTTTGAGGGAAGAAAAAAAAGCACTTTAAAAACATTAGGGTTTCTCTTAGATGAATATTTATTATGCTACTTAATATTTTAGTATGTGAGATTGCAATTTGTGATAAAAATATTTATCTTGGTGCTCACCTTTATCTCTTGGGATAGAGATCCTAAAACCTGACATTTCCTGAGCCATAGGAGTACTAGATCAACCTTTTGTTCTAATATTTGGTCTTCAATTGTGATTTCTGACACAGAACTCCTAATTCCCTGGAATTTCCTAAGAGACAAGAGGCTCTTTCATTCTGATGAAATGGCTCTTAGTGGGCTCCTAAACGAGAGCTGGTCAGTTGACAAACAAAGTTACAGTCAGAAGCTTAGAACCCCTGTCCTCTAGGAAGCAGAGAGGGTGTGGAGAAGGAATGAACAATGAATTATTCCTATGTGACAAAGCCTCCAGCACAGTCCCTAAACTACAGGGTTCAAACAGCTTCTAAGATACTACACGTGAAGGTGCTGGAAAGCTGGCTTGCCTGGGGAGGGCACAGAAGTGCCACACCCACTCATATACCTCCTATGGCCATTCATTTCTATCCTTTAAAAGAGCTTTTGTAGTAAGTGGCAATAGGAAGCAAAGTGTTTCCCTCAGTACTAGTAAGTGGTAAAGGGGGTTTGGGGAACTCATAACCGATTAGTCAGAAGTACCACACTTAGGGGATTCTTATAGGACTGAGCTCGCAGCAAGTGGGATGTGACTCTAATTATATATAGGGTAAAAATTGAATTTAATCACAGGACACCTCGCTGTTTGCAGAAAACTGCTCAATGAGGGAAAAATTCACACAACTAGTCACAGAAATGTGTTTAGAGTATAATATGAGAAAAAAACCTTTGTTTTTTTCTATTACACACAGCTCAGGAAAGCTTTCCTGCCTTTCTGCTGCAGTCTACAATGCTGCATTGCCTAAACAGCTTTCCTTGAACTTGACCACTTAATATGGATTCTGGCATCAAAACACTTGGGCATGAATTACAACTCTGGCACTTCCTAGCCAGCTAGCCTGGGCATATAATTGCTCTTAAACCCAACGACCTTGTCTACAAATTGGGGGTCAGAGTATTGTGTATGGAATGACATTGGTGAAAGGACAGATTGTCTGCAAAGCACTTGGCCTCATGAAGAAGCAGCACTCACTGGTTATTACTTTTATCATCACCATGCTCCTACCCACGTGTTCTTGTTTCATACTTGGAGCTGCCCTGTATTACAGGTCAGTCTGTAGAACTCTCTTCCTATCACTGAAAATTGCCTACGGTTTCTCTCATTCCTTTAATAATGCTAGACTTTTGTTTAGACTAAATATTAAAGAATGTCTACAGGAGTTTTCATAAATACAGATTTACTTACAGCATTTGGTAAAGCCATTTTCCAAACACATAAGAATTGTCTCAAGAGAAAAATTTTAATGGCTGGCATTTTCAGAAAAATAATTGATGGAAAAGGAAATTTTTTGTCTAAAGAATGAGGTAAAACACATCATACATCACACTTTCCCATAAGGCCAGAGTGGCTAAAGATTGGTACAAAACAAACCACACAGGAGAATCTGAGCCAAGGATGAAAAGTATATCCATCCAGCCAGCTCATCGCCTCTTCCTTTGAAATGCAACCACATTCAGGACTGACATATCAGCTGTGCTATCTGCCCAAGACAACAGCAAGGGTGAGTAGTTTCAACAGACTGCAAGGGCAAGACTCACAAAATAGTTATTAACTGGCCCTTTACTTAAAAATTTTTCCCACCCCTGCCAAGTCCCAACTGCGGCCACAGTTTTTATCCTGTTTAACCAACGGAAAGATAAAATAGTCATAGGTAATATATGTTTTTATAGGGAAGGAGATGATTAGAAAAAGTTCATTCCCAAAAACATGTAACAAACAAAATAAAAGCTACACAAAAGAGTAGGAAATCTTTGCATACTGACTTATATTTCTCCTCTGTAATACCCTTTCAATGCACTTCAGAACTGACGTGTTAAAAATGGATTGATGTGTATGCCAACAGCAGAATAATAAAATAAACTTGCTTGCTCAAACTTCAGCTTTCTCATTTAATAAAACAGCTATACTAAAATATGTATTTTTGGAGGTGCTCAGCTTGGTTTAGACATTAAGATTTTCAATGTCATATTAATGAAACCCCAATTTTACAGAAAATTCATCTTCAACAAAGGCTATTCTGTGTATAAAGTGGGAGAAAAAAAATATCTATTAATATTTATAAAACAATTTTCACCATCAAAAGCACATTGTTACATGCTTGATAGATTATACAAATGAACTTTCCTTCTGAACAAATATCAAAGAAAGCTATGGTACTTATATTCATAGGGTGTTTTTTTGTTTTGTTTAGTGGTGTGAGATTCTGTGAGCTGCTAATTCAACCACTTCGATGCAGAACATGCCTGGCAGTTAGAGGCCTCTGACCCAAGAGTTTTAACAGAAGAATGTGCCACAGAGTTAAACAAAAGAAAAATCCATTTCCGAGGGGAGACTTACAAATAAAAGAAGCATAAAAACAGCAGGAAATAAGACTGTCATAATTAGTTTGAAAAATAATCTGTCTTCAAGCAATGTGCTGCGTTTGATTTGTGACAAATAACCATAATGTGCTATTGAAACACGCCTTGCTCAGATGGCCTTAAATGCTGAAACTTTAAAATCAGTCCCACTTTCCATTAAATATTGATGTTCCAAAAGTTGTATACTTTTTTAAAAAAGTTTTCTGGAGTTGCTAGGAAAAGAGAAAATAGATGTGAGGCAGGCAGAAGATGGGGGGAGGGAGAGATCTGAAAATGTTCTTCAAAATAGTCTTCAGTATAAAGAGAGAAACAGAGAAACACCCACCACCAACATGGGCACTTACGAACACGAAGTAACGGTGGTTATTTAGAGAATTCAATCTGAGAAAGAAAGGAGTCTGATGTGCCAGTTAGCTCTGGATCACTCAGACTCAATTCTCAAGGAATCATGGCTACACAGTCACAGCTGCAAACTGGGTCTCTTTTCTTTAGCTCAATGAATGGATCGGAGCTCCAGCGATAAAGACGCCTTAAGGCAGGAATTCTTAATCCCTGGACTACAGACCCTTTGTATAAACTCACTCTTCGCTGCCAAGGATCACGTTGTGCGCTCTCCGGCCTCTACTCACTGGGTGCCAATAGCACGAACCACAAGTAACAATTAAAAATGTCCTCAGGTTGCCTAGTTCCCCTGGCAGACAATGCTTCTCCTCTAGGAACTTCTTGCTTTAAAGATACCCCAAAAAGGAGTCTGTGCAGGCAGGTAGGATCACAGTAGGAAGAAATGAAATACATATGTAAAAATCCCACGGCAGCTTGCAGAATGAATGAGTGAGTACATGAATGAATGAATAGGTAGGCAGACAGACAAAATCTACAGTGCTAAAACACTGTGTCTCACTTGGCCACAAGTTTAATGAGTTAATTTGGCGTTGTGATTGGACAGGCAAGGAAAACACAGCTAACCCCCTTGATTGTTCCCCTCCCGGTTTATCTTTCTTTCTGTAAAAGTTGGGTTACCCTGCTAGTCACGTTCGGCCCGGGGCTCTTTATTCCCGTGGGAGACAGTTCTCTCCTATACCGTGTGGTCCCTGCTCAGGAATGGCGCAGGCATGGACACGGGACTCGGGCGTGGCAGATAAAAACAGTGCAAAGGGGTTTCCGTGCTTGCAGGGGGGAAGGGTCCGAACTAGGACCCATCTGTGCTAACTCTCCAGGGGCTGGTTGAGGGAGGGTAATCAGTCGCAGGCAGGGCCAGGAGACCACAGACTCCCCGCTGTCCTCAGGCCCAGCCCATACTCAGGCTTCTCCGTCTTATAAGTAAAACAAGTGCCCTGCCCCACCTCCTGGAACTTCACAACAAAAATTAAGCCAAGGGTAGCAGGTTTCTGTCACCCTAATCCTAGCTGTGAGTTACTGCGTCACAGCGAGTAATGTCAAATCACTTCATAGACTGTAGTTCTTTCTCCCTGCCAAATATTCCCCAAGGGTGACTCGGCAGTTTAGATATTATCAAGGCCACCGCTTTTCATTCAAGCTGTTCCGGAAATATATGGCCAAAATGCTGGATTTTTTAAAAAAAAATGTTCCTCACTGAAACAGAAGACTGAAGAAACTCCAAGGAGCGGGTGCAAGGAGCAGCCGTTAAGTAAAAAAGTTTGGTGGGACGCAGAGCTCCTTATAGTTCTCAATCATAAGCATAATTATTAGGGTTTCGATATGGAAGTTTTAATAAAAATGGTTTGCTACCGGTGATCTAAAGGGAAATAATTTAAATGTCCAGATTATAAATATAAAGATTATCAATATTTCTAAGATATAAAAGACTTTTACTAGCTCCTAAATAAGGAATCGCTTTAGGGGTCTGTGACAATGCTGAAGATCAATTTGTACATTTGGACATTAATCACCATTTCCTCACCGGGTTTAATTTGACTACTGCTCATTAGAGTTATAAACCAACACACTCATTTAATTGTGATTATAATTCAATAGCTGAACTTTTATGGTACAATGAACAAATTAATAGCTAGAGATAATTTTGCTCTTAAAAATATCATGTTAGACTTCTGTTTTAATGAACTGTATATATAGAACGTGCTTTGTGATGATTCCTTCAAAAACATCAAGAATTATCCTCTCCCTTTGTAATTAAAAAGCAAACTTCAGGATGCATGAGATTTTTAAGCACCTTCCCAGGAAAGGGTCCTTCACCCTGTTCTCTGCTGCTAGACGACAGCTTGTGACTGATTACTTCCCAAAGGGTTGAATAAACATAATACTGCAGCCTGATTTTTAACCCACTTTACTGCTGATTTTCCTTTTATTTTAAAATATGAAACAGCCAGGCTGTACATGCATACTGGCTTGAAAAGCAACGTATGACCTTTAAGAACTCTTATATTGAACTTGTCATTCATTTCTTGATTTAATTATCAGCCACTAAATGCAACATAAACTTTGACTGGTATTTCCAAACTGGAAGCCTCCTGGGTCACTCTGAAGAGAGAAAATTAACAGTTTAAAAGGGAAAAAGAAAAGGCAAGTTGCTTTAGGTCAGTGTCACACATCTGAACCAAATGGACTCAGAGAGACATGGGCTCAAATCTAGTTCCGGTGTCTAGCTGCCTGTGGAGGAGTCTCACTAAAAGTTCAATCCTCTGTGAAATGGGGACAATGACTCCTAACTTTAGTCAAGAATCCTGGCATCAGTTCAAAAAACATTTTCTATTTCTTTCTTTCTTCTCTATGTAAAATACTGAAAATTTTACAGCCACATCATTTTAAAAAATATTTAATATAGGCAGTTTGCACATGAATAACCTAGCACAGATTTTAATCTGATCATCATGTGTAAACCACAAAACATTAAATTATTTTCACCTAGGCAGATGCTGTGTCAATGAGCTACATCCCTGGCCCACAGGTATTGTTTTTGCTACTTTGCTTAGAAACAATAAAAGAAAAAAATCTGAGCTCTAGTCAGGCTAAGAGCATAGGTCACGACCAGAACATGATAAATTCAGAACTTGTACTCAGGCCTCTCTGGGTTCCAAAGACACAGTATTTTAGTTTTTCTGAGTGCAACTGCAGAATCTCTGCTAAGGATAAACACCGTACATTCACGCTGGCCCACAACTTGGTATGTCTGCTCACAAAGATTCACCCCATTTACCAATTCAATGGCAAATTCCAGTTTCCTGACTGCTCACAACATGATAGACACGGACAGAGTGCATTTAAAAAGAAAACATTCACAGAACATACATCCTGGTATCTCTCTACTACCCACTTCTTATTCGCTCCCTACAACTGCCCACCCCCCAAACACTCTTAAGCATTAAATTAGTAAGAACTTACTGAAGACAATCTGTGAGATAAGGCATAATGGTTGTTGGTGCTGAGATAAAAAACAGTTACTTATATTCAGTAAGTACTTAACAGATAGGAGAAAACTTCCCCACAAAAATGCCTCCTCCTCTTATCTGAAGCAGAAGCTGCTAAGCAAAGGAGGGGAGAATATTCAATCTTAAGGGCTTCAGCAAGATGATGTATGCCAAATATAGTACAGAAGATGGCACCAGACACAGATTTTAGGCAAATTAAAAAGCTTCAAAAAGTTCTGGTTCCATAAAATCAGGTGTATTCAATATATGCAAGTGCGGTCCCCACCCAAAACTTTTTATTATGTGCAGCAACAATAGACCTGCAATGATGATTCTGTGCATGTAGCTCTGTGTATATGTGTGTGCGTGTGTGTGTACACTGCAGGTGGAGGGGGGTGGATGTCTCAACATAAAACAAGAACTAGCTTCAACTACTTTCCTCTGAGGCCTGGCATTTGGCTGCAAACAAACCCAAGTGCTAAAATGTTCAACCACCATCATGGGAGCATTTGAAACTAAGACAGAAATGAAATTACTGACAGAAATCAATGCAAAGCTGCTACTGTAGTCTTTTGCACAACTTAATTTATAGTTTGCATAAATAACTATATATTCATTCACCCATCCCCCGCTCCTTCTCCCTCTTTCCCTCCCTCCTCCCCATTACATTTTACCTTGGCCTTCTGGAGTCTCACCAAAGGGATTCACTTCCACCTGAGTAGCATCAATTTTCAGGAAGAGATTATACAGCTTCTTAATTTGATCTGCAGCCTAAATGTGATCAAGCGAAACAGAATTACATCAAAGCAGTAAAAGAAAATTTATTTTGCTCGATTAATGAAACCTTAAAAACAGCAAATTATGTCTTTATTTTCAGTTACGTTTTCTGAAGGGAAAAACAGAAAGGCATAATTATTTTAATTTCCACTGCTATTCATTAGAAGGAATTGCTCAACTTTCCTCCAGATACCAGAAGAGACCATTATCAAGAAAACCAAATATTTTCAGTACAGCCTAAAAATGTTATTAATCATTTTGTAAATTATCAAGGCCCTATTAGCCAAGTTAGACTGCAATACCAGCTACAATCACTAATACAAACAAGCTCCATTTAAGCAAAAGGTAAACATGATTTTGAGAGTTTATAATGACTACATTTTCCTTATTATGCGGGAATAGAACACTTACTACATTCCATCAATCCAAACCCATAATCTGCAAGGCAAAACAATTACAGAGTGTCTAATGGAAACTGTTACAAGACAGAAAGATGGAAGTCTTAAACAGCAGAGTTCCAGAATGGTGCTTTACACTGAAAGCAGTTTTGTCCCAAAAGCATAAATCGCAAGGGTAAGACTATCCAAGGTTCCCCTGACGTGGTGAGACTCCATTTTTTTCAGCCTGCCTAAAATTCACTCATTCTTTTCAACCAACGTTTATTCACTGTGACTCAAAGCAGGGCAATATTGTGTGGGGGAGCTTGGGATGACAAAGGTGAATGACTCAGGGTACTCCCCGTGAAGTTTACACTTGTGAACAGGACAAGCCTGTGTGCCATTATGGTCGAACGGTGGGTATCAGCCTCACTCTCTGTTCAATCTGTTTCCCAGCTATACTTTTCCCACTGCCACCTTTTGTTCACTGTGCCAGCCCTGTCCTCCGGATCCTCAGGTCCACTGAGGCCCGGCCGCACTGTGCTCTGTACGCAGGAGTCTGACTTACGAGCTGAGTTCCCATGGCTGCTGCACCAGCTGGCTGCCAGCTCAGTTCAGCCAAGTGGAAGCAGAGACGAGAGACAGAAGCACGGCAGAAGGGAAAAGCCCGAGTATTTCTACTCTACTTTTCCTCTGGGGCAGCCTTGTCCAGCTAGAGCTCAGCTAGAGGCCCCCCAGGGCTCTGGCTTCAGTTTCCCAAGGCTCAGACACACAGCTGACTCTCTTTTCAGAGCACATGGAGAGTACCATTCCTTGTTGTTTAGCTCTACGCCTCCCAGTGCCTGGAAGCCCTGCAGCTCTTGCAGGACCTATGCAACACATTCCCTAAGAGAAATCCCAAATGGGGTCGACACCGGAAGCAGTTCCAGACTTGACAAAAGAACTTCTATAGATTTCCTTCACATTGCCTTAATGTATTTCATGTCTATTTGTAAACATCCTTAAATCCTAATTTGAAACCAAATATATGAATAAATACTCCAAATGAACACGTCTAAGTATGGAATATTAAATATTTTTATGGCTAGATAACACAGGGTGTAAAACTCTCTAAGTACACACGGTTTTCCTGTGAATGTACCTTCCCTCCCAGTCCGCCCCTTCGGACCCCACAGCAGCCGCATTACCAATATGTGCTTCATCTGAGAGGTATTCTACATATGTGCAAGTATGTATATTTTACCTTAAATAAACTTAATTCTATACCTTGCTTTTTACATAATAAATTTTAGATACCCTTCACTAGCAATGTAAATACATTGGTGTCTGCATCAATTTTATCATATGATTGTGCCATAATTTTAACTGTCACTTAAATAATGGTCACTTGGATTCTTTCTGATAGTTTGACAGTATTTAAAACGTGGCCTTATCTCTAATGGTGTATCATACATGTGACTGAATATTTGTAGGACAAATTATCCAGAGTAAAGAAAAAAAAGGGTTCAAGCATTTTTAAGTGTCAAAAGAGCCTATTAAATTACTCTTGGTGGAAGCGGCCCGTAATTCCTCTCCCACAAACCAGAGGCAGACAGTCTTTTTCCGCTTAGACCCATCAGCCTTCTGGACACTAGAGAGTGTAGCTGGTGAAAAAAAGTATCTCATACAGAGTTTGAATTCGAAAGTCCTAAAAGACATTTGTACTGCCTTTTCTATGAACTTTGTCCATTGTCTTATTGAGATTTCGGTCTTTTTCTTATTAAATTAAAGGAAGTATTTTTATGTGAAAGAAGTTTGCTGTTTATCTCATGTAAACTGCAAATATGTTTCCCCTTTAACATTCACCTTTCGGCCATGCTTTTGTAACTTCTGCCACATGGAAATTTGGTAAAAATCATGTCACTCTTTTCTTTCTGGCTTTGTGTCTTTTGCTTTTGTGTTAAACTTTCAAAAGGCCAATCTCATTCTGAAAGGTTTTTTTTTTTCTCTTTTTTAAAAGTCTCCAATCATTTTTAAAAATCCAAACAGGAATTGCAATAAAATACAAAGCCAGTCAAAAACTCATGATTGAATTCTTTTGCTTTGTTTTGGTTTTTTGAGGTGGGATCTTGTTATGTTGCCCAGGTTGGTTTTGAACTCCTGGTCTCAAGCCATGCTCCCCCCACAGCCCATTGAGTGGCTGAGACTATAGGTGAGCAGCACCACAGCTGCCATTCTAGGTATCACCGTGCCCTGTAATGTAGTTGTGGCAGGAGACACAGCCTGTCTGCCCTGACACTATGGCACTGCTACAGCTCCAGCACAATGTCAGCACTTAATAAACACTTCATGAATTGGTAATTAGCGTTATTAAAATAATAAGGGGAAACTACGTAACAGAATTAACTCTGGGGACATAAATATATATTATCCCAGCCACTTTAAAAGCACCTTTTAGAAAAACTGGTAAAATGCACAGAACATAAATGTCACCATCTCAAAGCCCCCTAAACGCCCATACAGTGTACGACTTGTCAGAGACGTTCACACTGTGGTGCAAGTTCTCTTCAGAACTCCCTCCTGTCCCCACACCGAAGCACTACACCTGTGGTGGAATGTTATGGTTTGAATGATTCAGCCCCTCAGATACTCACGGCACTCAGGAAAGTAATCTGACTGGTTAAAGTCATCAGAATGACACCCATGATCAAATACTAGTACCTTTCTAAGAGCAAGAGAGACCAGAACACACAGTTGCTCCCCATCTCTTGCCATTTCAACTCTGCCAGCAAGAAGGTCATCACCAGATGAGGCCTTAGACCCTAGACCAGAGCCATGAGCTGGTATAATCCTCTTTTCTTTATAAAGCTACCAAACTCCAGGTACTTCATTACAGTAACCCAAATGGACTGGTGCACCCACTAGAAATACTCCCCATCCCTTCTCTGGTCCTGACAATGCCCTGCTACTTTCTGTCCCTATGATTTAGACTCTCCTAGGCACCTCATATATGTGAAATCGTACTGTATTTGCATTTTGGTGACCGGATTATTTCAATTATCTTAATGCCCTCAAGGTTCTGTCTTTCTGAATCACGTGTCAGAACCTTCCTTTTCAAGTACATTAAGGTCACTGTAATTACACATTAGCATAGCATTTGGGGGAGGATGTTGGGTATTTTAATCTTTACTGTTGTGCAAAGATAAAGAAGTACAAACGTTTTGCAAGCAGGACTGAGGCATGATTAGCTCTGTATTGTAAAATCTACAAAGCTTCTCCCTTATAAAATGCCTTATTCCAGAAATTATAGCACAAATGGTTGTAAGGACTCAGCATGCAAAATGTGTCTGTCTGAGGAAATGTAATAATAAGGAATGGCAGGGCACGGGACAGGTTGAGATTAGCGCCTCTGTTTTCTAAGTGTGTTTAAATGCTAAAAAATAAACACAGGTGAAAGAAAACATTCTGCTGGTCAACTAGCAGTCCATTATTTACTCCTACAATCTCCTTTCTCAGTTTGGAAGCTCTATATACAGACAGAAATGCCTTTCCTTTTGCTATAAGTTCATGTTATTTTCAGATTGTTAGGGAATTTAAAACTTGAATTCTCTAAAATCAAATATATATATGAACCTTGACGAATTAAAAAGTAACTTCAAAAGAATCCCCCAATTTTTATTTTATTACTATCAGTTTTGCTGTTTGGTCAGCAGAAAATCCAGATAATAATGCATTACTAATAAAATCAGCATTTAAAATAAAAAATTGTTTAACAAGTTAAAATATTTCAAATAACTTTTATTACATTTCAAAAAGTATTAGCATTCAAATAGGGCTCTCAGCCTAGCTAGATATACAAACTACTCCTGAGATGTTAAGTATCTTGCACAAACTTGGCCATCAAGTCTTTTCATTGGCCTCAATGCTGGAGACACATACTGACCATCCATCGCATCTGCATTTTGAGAAATAGTACACGGTAGTCCCATCTTATCCTTGGGTTCACTGTCCATGGCTTCAGTATTAGAGGTCAACCCTAGGCTGAAAATACAGTCTAGAATACCAGGATATTTTAAAAGGCAGAGAAACCACATTCACATAACTCTTATTACACTACGTTGTTATAATTTATCTGTGGTATTACTACTTACTATATGTAATCTATAAATCAAACCTTATAGTAAGAATGTACATATCTAAGTATAGTATACATTGGGCTTAGTACTTTCCTCAGTTCCAGACATACACCCGGGTCTCGGTGTGCAACTTGCTTGGATAAGGGGACTCTGCTCTGGATGGTAATTAAGAGATACTTGAAAGACAGATCAATGTTTAGTCATGTTAAACTTTCCTATGGGTTTAGATTTTTTCAAAAACTCCTGCCAAATGAATTTTAGTCTGGAGCAAATACTTGGTAGTTTTTATGTAAGCTGAAATATCACCTTAGTTTTTATGAATATTAATAAATCACTGTTCAGAGACAAGAGGCATGAGTCTCAGGAAATATCTCAAGATAATCATTTGATGTTGTTCATTCATGAGTGAGATGTCTCCAAATGCCCAAAGCAATGCTAGCTGGAAATTAAATAACTTTCCAAGTCACACTGAATCTAAGGGACTTCTAAGATACCATTTCTTTATGAAAGGATCAGTGATTAATAATTTAATGTTTTCCTTTCTCAGATGCCTTCCCTGCTTCTGCACTCTGGCTCCCTGGCACATCTAGGTAATACCCATGGCTTGGGCAAGAGATTTCCAGATCTACAACTCCAGCCCCAGCACACGGCCTTCCTTGGGCTTCAATGCCATTCAGCCTTTCTGTTCTACAAATGCACCTGAGTGTCCTGCAAACAAATTCCAACGTGCCCACAGCTGAGCTCTCTCCATCTCCCACGTTTCCCTCATCACGTCTCTCTCCCCCTCCCCCTGTGCTCTCTACTGTCTAGGCCGCCTGCACTGGTCTCTGAGCCCCTGGAGGAAAGCCATAGTTCTCATCGTTTCTTTTCTCCAGGGTGCAGCAGAGTAAGCAGCTGAGCTAATAAAAACTTAGAGCCTTTCAAGGTATTAGCAATGAAAGAGAGAGAGACAGAGAGAGAGAGAGAGAGACAGAGAGAGAGAGATGAATTAATTTCCTTTCTTTTCTTTGATAAATTAAGTTAAAAATATAATGACACTATAGCTATTTAATAGCTCCTTTCATCTCTTGGTAATTCATTTAAAACTAAAGTGTTTCAGGCACTAGGAAAATACGATTATACCATGTAAGATCTACAAATAACTCAATTTCCACTTCTAATATGTAGGCAGTGGGGGTGTCTCATGATGTACGTAGCATTACTATTGCCTTCTCTAGAATTCCTGTTGTGCTCACCTCCTGAGGTTTCAAATAATGGGGTCAGCAGATTTTACCCACCCCAGATTTATTCTTCTGCCAGGTAAACCACCTACTGATAACTTCCTAGGAAATTCTTCAAAGAGAACAGCCTAGATGTCTTGTTTCCCTTATTTCCACACATGACAAATGTCTCCTGGGCAACTAATAGTGCCAAGCACTATGTGGGCTGCTGGCAAAACAGCAATGAACGAGATGGACAAAGTCCTTGCTGTGATGAAGATTAGGATCTAGTGAAGGTGAATACAAATAGATAAGAGAAATGCAGAAATGCAAAGTGATATAGAGGAGGTAGACAGGACTACACTCTGGTGCTGGTAGAAAACACAGCAGTTAGGACACAGTGACTGTATGGGAAGTGGCTGTCAGTGACCACCTTCCCTAAAGAAGAAGTCCTTAAATGTCAGATGAAGCCTGTGTGTGGTTAGTAACACCATTCTGAGATGGTAAAGCTGACCATTATAGGAGGTATCTAGGAACTTCTCTTTCAGCAGATGACTTCCTCCTCCCCGGCTACTCTCTCCCCTCCCCTCCCCTCTCTTTTCCTTCAAACACTCTACTTCTGTACTACCTCCTCAGCCCAATAACTGATCTTTACACAGTACTGTAATAAGCACTTTCACACATCATTATACTCAATCCCCATGACAAACCCCCTCAGTTAATGGTAATCATCCCCATCCTCCCAAAGCTAAAATTCAAGCTGGGATGGAGTAAATCACATAGGTGCGAGGTGGAAGCATCAACAACGCTACAGAAAAAATTAAAAAGATCACCCACCTATGCATCATAAAGTATAGGTACCAACATGCAACACATACATGTACACACACACACACATTATAAACATTCTCTCTTCAAACACCAGGAAACACTTTTCTTCATCATAAGCAATTAGGGAAAAAAACTGTAAAACAACAGGCCTGTTTCCTGGTAATCACAATATCAGAAGTGATTAAGCAAGTTCCCAAATATTTTCTGAAAGAAGTCAGACATGCTGTCCTGCAATGGCTTATGTACCTGATTTTTCAAAGGCCCAAGGAAGCCCAGATTTTCTGCCATCCGCTGAGCTTGGCTGTCCTTTATCCCTTCAAAAATGTCAATTGGCTCCTGGTAAAACAAATCAAACGAACAAAATTCATACAGTCAAGTGAGAAGATTTACAACCTCAAAAAGAAATGCTTAGTATTTATTTGCAAATGAGTAATTAAACTGTGGCACCTTTCCAGAGATCTCTGAACAGGGCTACTGCAGCTGCCTATAGGGTATGTTTTAATTAGCAGACCATCGATGAAACAGCCCTTCCAAAAACTATATAATTCTTCAAGGTGGCATGCTGACAAGACGATCTGATGCCAGTTTTCACTTTTAATTACTATACAGATGGCACTGATGAATATTTAGTCAGTTAATTTTTATGACATCTTTTGGAAGTCTTCCAAAGAAGGTTTTTCTGCCTGATATTGCTGTTAAGTTTAGAGTTGTCATACATAGGTTAAACATTATCCTATGATTTAAACACTCTACTGATGATATTATTAATAATACCTTAGCTCTACGAAGTACCATTCTCAAAACACTGAATGCTACTCACATACATTATACATTATATATATTGTACATTATATACTTACATTCTTTTAGCAAATAGAACTGTTTCAGATAATGGCATTCTGAAAACAGCTAGGAGTTACTGATAACCATATGTGCAGTCTCAAACTTCCAATGTAGTAACATTGGTATAACATTGATGACAATATTTTAAAAATTGTATAATCACCATTGTATAAGTACATTATCTAGACAAAGAGATTCAGGAAAATAAATTCCCCCTTTGCAAAAGCAAACAAAATCACTTTCTAAAAGAAATAATAAATGTTTCTGTTGGAAATTATAATTTTGGTATTTTAGAACACAGATTAGAAACTGAAATTATAGTCCTACTACAAATTTTACATTTTTTCTTGTATAGTTAAGGTAGGATAAGAAGGATTTTATATACATCACTTCATTTAATCCTCACATTTCTGAAGGATATAAATTACACCATTTTCATTTTTCCAATTTAAAAAAATGAGGCTTAGAGTCACCAAGAAACTTCCAAACTAGTCAGATCTGACTGCATACCTCTTTGACTAGAACTAGTCTTATAAATGGGCCAAGACCTCAAGATTAAAACAAATAGACAGAAGCTGGATCTTGAAAAGATTTTATTTTACTCAGGACAGTCTCTAGTTCAAATTCTACCTCTTCAGAGAGAATTCTTCAACCATACATCAACTTAAATGGGCAGAGTCAACCCAGAGGGAATGGAAATATCACAAGGCCTTTCCACTGGTTAACACTTGGGGCAGCCTAGATTAAAAGGAACAAGAGAGGCAGGAAAAGAGAAGGAAAGAAGGGGAAAGAGCAAAGAAAAAGCCCTTGAATATTAACACTTTGATTTTATCCAACTTTCTATTGGGTATCCTGCAAGAAAAAGGACCAACATCTGCTTTAAATCTCAGAAACAGATGTACTGCTCGCAGGCTTAGACTCCACATTAAGACTTTAACAGCTTCTACAGTAACAGTACCTTAAAAACAGCACAGCCAGATACTTAAGCATACCTTAAAAATAAGTTCTGGATTTGAAGCGGCCACCTCTTCAATGTCAACTCCACCCTGGGGGCTGCCCACCAGCACAGGGCCATTGTAGGCTCGGTCCATCAGAATCGCTAAGTAGGTTTCTCTGGAAATGTCCAGGGCTTCAGCAATCATCACCTAGCACATTAGTGGGAAAGTCAAATTAATTCAGCATCAAGCAAATTTCCACTTGGAAATCTATACAAACTCACTACACAAATCAAACGACTTCATTTTTAGCAAGTTAAACTAGTGAGTTACCTCCCAGAGACTTAAGGCTTCTCCTCCCATGGTGCACAATGCCCATTTTCACCTCCTAAATTGATCCTGTTAACTTATTCAAATGACAAGAATTTGGTTTGCCGCAAGGAACGTTTCCGCTTTAATCTTTTTTTTTTCTCCTTCCCTGAGAAACTCTGTTGCTTAAGAAAAACTCCAGGGAAGCAGCTGTTATTTTAATTTGACATATTAACATTACATATATATCACTACACTGACTTTTCTCAGATTTCATTGGAAAATCAAATTTGACTGCTAAGGCAGGGTGCTTTTACAGTGCATCTGCTGTTTTGCATGTTTGTATACTTCCATCTCTGGGATCACTGTATTTTATTTCAGTTTATACTCTCTTTTAGTTTACAAATGTAATACTTGCTTGTTCAAAAGTACATAAGCCAGGAGTGAGAGCAGCCAACTGATGCACGCCCCCCACACCCACTATGCTATCCAGGAAAAGGTGTGCAGCGCATCTTCCTGGCTTCCTTTGCAGAAGGCAACCACTGGCCAGGACCTTGGTTGGGCAAAAGGCAGCTGGGGTAGAAGGATTCATTAACCCCTCACTGTCTCAGCCAGGTTCCCCTCGCTCTCAAGAACTTGAGCAAATGTCGCCCCTTTTCTCGCTGTCTGCAAGCACTACAGGCATAGAATCATCCTGCACACAGAAGCGTGTTGTACACACTAGGAAGCTGCTTTTCTTAAAATCTTAACCCCGCATTGGGCATTTTTGTAAGTTCTCCTTTTCCCTTATGACTATTCAGTACATATATGTCAATATTTAATCATCTTTCTACTAATTGCTACTATGTGAATTTTCATCGTTTAAATATTCTACTGTAGTCTTTTTCTGGCATATATCTTTGCTCACTTTGCATTTCCCTGTAAAGTAAGAGCAAAAGTTTACTTCTTAGTAAAGGCTCATCTTAAGTTTACTTAAAGTAAAAGGAAAGTTTACTTCTGAATATTTAAGATTTTGGCAAGTACTATCAACTTGCCCTTGAACGAGGGGCTGTCTGAATTTATATGCCCAATAAGAACAGTGAAAGACATCTTACTTGATTCTGAAAAGAAAATAAGCACATTCTTAAGTGATCAGTAAGACATGAAAATAAAAGAAACATTTCCAAGCTTAGCATGGTGATGCACACCTGTAATCACAGCACTCATGAGCCTGAGGCAGGAGGATCGCTGCAAGTTCAAGGCCAGTCTGGACTACACAGAGTTCAAGGCCATCCTCAAAGACATAGTGAGACCCTGTCTCAACAAAACAAAACAAAACCAAAAAAATCCCCCCCAAATTTCTATTGTTTTGCCTAAAAGTAGTTTAATAAAAGGTTTCATTTGAAAAGTTACAAATTACACAACCTTAGGTTTCAGCTACTTAGATGCCTCAAAATAGTATGTTTGGTCACATCAAATGGGCTAAATAAATACACATCAAAAGAAATTTGAAAGTAATGAGTATACAATTCCTCCTTTTCAATCTTTTGTTGAATTCATCACCAGTTAAAAATAAAATATATGGGCTAGGAGTGTAGGTCAGCAGTAGAACATGTGCTTAACATGTAGTAGGCCCTAGATCAATTCCCGGCACCAAAAATAAGTAATAAAAAAGGCTCATCTTAAAATGGAATTGCTTCCTGGCACATGTTGCTAGGATCATCACAGAACTCTCCTGATTTCAAGGTGGTTGTCATTTCAAAAGTGAAAGTGAAACCATCTGTCCCTACAGAAGTCTCTCAGCTTTTAGGTAGCTTGATACATAGTCAGCTCTCAATCTCTGAGGAATGGCAAAGCACCAAAAGCAAAAATAGGCACTCTGCTGTTTTCTTATCAAATGTGATAACAACATACAGTTAAAAGAAATATCATGAAACATGCCTTTGTAAGCATCAGCAGTAATGCATACATTTGGAGAAACTGAGACAATCATTTCTCCTAAAGATTTCCTTAGCAGGACAGAGATATATTTTAAGGACTATGGCAAGCAAAATATACAAAATCAAGAATGTGGTTTTTTTGTACTTTATCTACACTGTCATAACTACTATTTACATTCTACTACAGCTCACCTACTGAATGAAATTTCATGACTCTCAGTAATTAAGAAAATGTCATCAGGAAAATGATTAGTAGATATAATTCAAGAAATTTTATAGGGAGACCAGAGTTTTCATGCTATTAAGCTATCCCCAGGATTGCAAATGTCAAGAGTATCTTAGGAACTGTCACAGAGAGATTTACTGGCCTCCACAAACTCCGGTTCCAGGAGAAGGGCAAGGAGGTACATTTCTAAAGAGCTTAACCTGTGAGCTGCACAAAGAAGATTATCAACACATCCTTTTTGTGGAGCCCTTCAATAGTACAAGTTTTTAATCTTTCTTTTTTTCATAAATGTTACTATTTTGTAAAAAAAAAAAAAAAAAAGAAACCCACAAAATTTCATAATAAAACAATAAGATAATAACAAATCATTATCTTCAAAATAGTTATTCAGTACAAGACCTCATCAAAAAATGACTCTTACAAACAGGAAACAAATTCATAATAGCACAAAGTATTTCTTTTCAGTGAACTAAGAGAAACTAGTAGTATAAACGAAACAAATTAGCATATATATTGAAGTATTTTTGGAAACAACACCATATGTAACTTGGGGAATTATCTCCCTACTTTCTCTTTGTCTATCTTCTATTTTGTTCTTTAATTGTATTAACATGCTGGTATTTTGAGTTTCTTATACAAGAGAAGCCATGCGATATTTAATCTTGTTTGTCTTATTTTACAACATTAGGTTCTCAAGTTGTATAATTTACCTATAAACACTTCAGATTTATCTTTATGGCACAGTAGTACTCTAGGATATATAAATGTCACATTTCCACATGCATTCATCTGTTGATGGTCATACGTACTGTTCCTAAGACCCAGCTATTCTAAGTTGTGCCGCTATAAATATGGACATGAGTGAATCCTTCTACTACGCTGATTTTAACACTTTGGGGAAAATACATAGAAGGAGGGAATACCTGGGCCTAATGGAATTCTAATGTTAGTTTTTTGAGGTCTCTCCACACTGATTTTGTTGCCTATTTTTTGAGTGGGTCTTTTATGTTGGGGAGTCTAATTCTTTCAGTTCTTTATATATACTACATGTTAGTCTGCCGTCTGAGAAATACCTGACAAAAATGTTTCCCCATTCTATAGGTTATCTCTTTACTCTGTTGATTGCTTCCTTTGTTGTGTAGAAGCTTTTTACTTTCATACGATCCCATTTGCTGATTACTGGGATTACTCCTTGTGCCACTGGGGCTCTTTTCAAAATTTCCTTGCCTATGCCTACGTATTCAAGAGTGAACCTATTTTATCATTCCAGTAGATTGTTTCTGTTTGAACATTTAGCTGTTTGATCCATTTTGATTTTGGTTTAGTTAGATGGAAAAATATCTGGATCTAGACTCAGTCTTCTGCGCGTGGATATTCTATTTTCTCAGCACCATTTATTAAAGAGGCTCTTTCATCTGGTGTATTTTTTGCCCCTTTGTCAAAGATCAAATAGCTCTATGTACCTGGGGTTGTTTCTGCTTCTTCTATCCTTTTCCATTATTCATCATGTCTGTTTTTGTGTCAGTACATGCTGTTTTAATCACTGTAGTTTTACAGTATAACTGCAGGTCTAAGATTGTGATACCACTTATTTTGCTTTGGTTACCTAGATTTCTTTTGCTATTCTGGGTTTCTTGTTTCTTATGAATTTTAGGATCATTTTCTTTAGATTTGTGAGAAATGTCACTGGTATTTTAATTGGGACTGCATTATATCTGCATATCAGTTTTGTAAATATAGCCCTTTTGATTACATTGGTTCTGCTATCCAGGAACAATGAATCCACAAGGTGATGGACTTTTTTTAGTTGGTACGCGTTTGCTTTGTTTTTTTTTATTGTTGTTTTCTTTTGCTTTGTTTTACCCCTTTAATTTCACTGCCTGTTATTGAACTGTTCAAGAACTTTAAGTCTTCTTGGTTCAGTTTTGGTAATTTCTATGTACCTCTTGATTTCTTCTGAGTTTTATAATTGTTTGGCATATATGTTTGTGAAGCAGTTGCTAATAATTTTCTGGATTTTGGCAGATTCCATTGTGATTTCATCTTTTTTTCCTTTGTAATTATATTGATTTGTATCTTTTCATTCATCTTTGGCGAGGATAGGATTGGCTAAATGCTTCTCTATTCTGCTTATTCTCACAAAGAATCAACTCTTTGATTCACTGATTCTTTGTACTGTTGTTTTACTCTTCATTTCACTGATTTCTGCTCTGATTTTTAAAAATTCCTTCAGTACATAAGCTCTGGGTTTGAATTGTTCTTGTCTTTCTAGGATCTTGAAATGTATCATTATGTTATTTATTTCAGAGTGTTTTGTTTTTCTGATGTGGGCATTCACACATCATTCTGTGTGAATACAGCTATAAACTTCTTTTGCAGCACTGCTTTCATGTGTCCTATAAGTTCTGTTATGCTGTACTGGCATTATCGTTTATTTCTAAGAATTGTTGCATTTTCCTTAATTTGCCCTGTAGTCCATTGATTATTCAAATTTCTGTGGTTTCTTTTGCTATTAATTTGTAGTTTCATTGCACTGGAGTCTGATAATACACATAGTAAAATTTTAAATCTTTAGTACTTACCTAGACATGTGTTATTAGCTAGTATGCTATTTTGCTGAAAATATGTGTATTCTTTTGTTGCTGGGTAGAAAACTCTCTATATATGTTAAGTCTATTTGTTCAGTGGTTTGGTTTAATGCTTATATTTATTTATTTTTAGTTCTATGTATCTGTGATAGTGGGGTATTGAGGTCT